GAGACCGGCTGCCATCAGAGTAGACCCTCGGGCCTGCTCGAATCCAGCACGTGCATCAGCAGAGGTTATTGGTAGATCGGCCAGGTTGAATGTTCCTGCTGACTCCTTCTCATCCCGTTCTCGTGACCAAACTGTCACCTTGTGCAAGAGAGATAGGAATTCGGAAAAGATCAGATTGGAATGATCGGGGGCCGGAAGTATCACCTCTACAGTGCTCGACGGTCCGAAAATGGTGGTGCAGGCCAAGATGTCGTATATGGAAAGCTGGTTTCGGAGAAAGTGGAACAGAGCGTTGTTCTCCCGGTTTGTTGTTGCGAGGGCATTAACTAGCCTCCGTGCAGCCTGCCTGTGCGAGTCGGCCGCCGCAGCGCCGGTCTCTGTCTCTGTCATTTCATAGTTAGCCAGGGTGAGCATTGAGGCCAGCATCCACACTGCAGTATCTGGGTCTATCTGACTGTCCAGGTCGAAGCCAGCAGCCAACTGGCCGGTCACGTCCCGAATCTGTTTCGATATCATGGTGACGGCGGCGTCACGGGCACGGGCAGGGAAGCTCATTTCTTTCCCTGTGGTGACCGCGAGGTGCTGGGCAGAGATGGCCAGAATGGCGAGGAGAAGCACGGGCTGCTGTTCGGCTAGGGGAAGAACAAGACGGCGGTATTCATTTCTCTCGGAGTCTATCCACACCATCAAGCCTGCAATCTGTTTGTCATAGTGCTCCAGAAGCCGGGATTTCGTGTCCGGATCTGGAAACCCGGGGAACATGACGATCGAGGTGGGCTGAGCAGCACTGCTCTGTTCAAGGGACGTAGCGGACCTGGGCGAGGTCGAGTCCTTGGAAGCGGTGCTGCTGGGTTTAGGCGGCGGCGGTTTGTCAATGTGTGGTGTGGTTCGACCTTTGAGGTGCCCACGAACGGCTATACCATTGGCCCATCTCAATCGAGGGCCGTAGCCGGGGCAAACTAGACCTTTCTTCGAGCATTTGATGCATTTGGGGAGCGATCTATCGCAGCGGATTCGTCTTCTGACACAGGTTGGACAATCTTTGCAAGAGTCAGCCTCCTGATTGGCAAATTCCACCTTCTCCTCCGACCGGGGGACAGAGGAGGTTGCCAGTATGCACCTTGTGGCCCGGTGGTGGGCGGGCTCGAAGCTGAAGCCTGAGTTGCAGCCCCCGCCTCTTCACTCGGAAGGGTATTCATGGCGAGGTTTCGGCAGTTATCGAGGCTTGCAGCCAGTGTCGCTGGTCATGTTGATCGATCAGACGGGTGGATGGAATCAGCAGCAGGCCTCATTGTGTCACCGGTTGCAATATGCTTTCGGCAAAGAACAATCCAGACTGAATGAAGGGATTGAACTCGAGGTGTGGAAAGAGCTTATCGGTTGCGGCTGGGCTTTGCTTTTGGGGGCTGTGAGCACGTGACGAGTCCGCCATGAATCTAGCCTCCAGATCACAGCTCGGTATTTCCACACCCCGCACAACTGCGCGGCGCTGCACTGCCACCACCACTGCTGCCATCTGCCCTCTGGCCAATTCCATCAAAAGTGCCTCGAGGCAATACGTCTCGGCCGTCACGAGATTCTATTTCTTGTTTGGTTTCGAATACACAGTTATTTCAACTCGGTTATTCTTGGCATCCCGACGCCCAGCGGCTCTCACTAATCCTACCATGGATTTTGGATCGAAAATCCATATTGGCACCATTGGGAGAAGGATTACCCACCGAGATCTGGGGAAAGGTGGCTATAGATCCCGTCCTTCCGTCTCATCATCTTCCCAGAAACTTCTTTTCATGTTCGATGTGTGACCCCATTCTTTGCATCGCGACTGACACCTATCGTCTTTGCAGCTAGAAGCGCGCGGAAAGCGGAGGGAAGCCATGACTAAGGCTTGAATGGGATATTGACAAGAGAAAAAAGCCGGATGCTCCCGTCCTAGCACCCTTCGTTTAACGATCCTCCCTGAACACGAATGTTGGTTATGATTTGCCCAGCTCCGCGTTGATGGGGCCAAAGGTCCTAGCCGCTGCGAGCCAACCTCTTTGGGCACAACGCGGGCCCCCTTCCAGCTGCACCGAGCAGAATCTGTCATCTCCCCAAGATCCATCAGAAAGTTCTCCATGTGTTATCACGTTCATTGCAACCCGTTCCACCCCTCTTATCTTTGGGAACCCTACACCACCAGGTGCTCGGCAGAGAGATAGCGAGTGTCGATAAGTGCATGCAGCTAGACTCTCTCGAGTGGCAAAAAGGAGAAGGGGTGGAGTGAGCAAGGAAAGCCGATTTCCCACGTGTACGTACGTGGTACTTTAAACTTCAACCGGTCGACCTCCTGCGTCACTCAGATTCAACCCTGATCTTGAAGCCGCCTCAATCAACTCTCCGGCAAAGCACGACACATTCAGCTCTATTCCATGAGTTAAATCATACAGTTCCGCGCTCTTCCTAGGCCCAGTTGTCCGCTTTCGGATCCTTACCCGTCGTGGTTTCGTTGGGATGGACACGATCAAAGACGATTCGGTCGGCCTGAGCAGCGATGAGAGTAGACTTCTCAGCCTCGGCCACAAGCCAGAGCTGAAGCGGACATACAATTTCTGGAGCTGTGAGTCTCGTGAAGAAGCATGAGTCTGGGATCATCGAGGCTAATAAATGCCTGCATAGTGATGGCATATCAAACCACCATTTTATGCTCATGGAGTTGCAATATTGTCATGTTCTACTATATATTTACCCTCGGCGGACCGGTTTGTCTTGTCTGGGGAACGTGAGTCCACGTCTCAAGGGCTTGTGCGCCGAGGCACGCTTCTAACGACATGCGAAATCCAGCGTTGTGGTCACAATCGGGCAACTCCTAGTCATGGCTTCACTGGCTGAATACTGCTCCATCTGGCCTACCGCAGGTGGTCAACAATTCTATACCCAGGTACGCTTCATTGCCACTGGCGGAAGCGACCAAGCGCTAAATCCTCTAGGTGGTTGCCCCCGAGAAGTCACGACGATTCCTATCTTATCTGGTCGGCTGGTGCGTTCTGGTGGGAGAAATCTCGACGTCCAGCTCCTGTGCCTTGAACAGTGCAGAAATTGTGGCGGCTCTCGTCGAGATCATACATCCAGATGTTGAGTGGAAGGTAAGAATCACTAACCTGGTCAGTCACTCTTTCCCCTGCTAACTGATCCAAAGCCCTACATGACTTGGCTTATTTACACCGGGTTTCTGGTCGCCCCTGCCCTATCGAATCTCCTTCCCAAATACCTTCCGGCCTTGCAACTCTTTGGTGCATTCTTCAACATTTCAAACGCGCTGATCTGGACCATCGTTTTCCTGGTCCTAGCCGACAAGAACAGCTCCAAGTTTGTCTTCACCGAATTTCTCAATACGTCAGGATGGACGTCCAAGGGCTGGGTCTTCATCCTGAGCATGTACGTTCCCATCTATGGTCTCTATGGAAGCGATGGCGTCATGCATTTGGTCGAGGAGATGAAAAATGCTTCGCGCGATGCTCCTGTAAGTGGTCGATTCAGCCCTGTCGACTCAGTATTTACTGACCGCGGAACAGCGGGTCATGGTGTGGTCTATGGTATGGGCCGGCGTAACAGCGTGGCTTTCGGCTATTGTTATGTGTTACACAGTAGGCCCCAACTGGGAAAACTACCTCGAAGCCACCTCCTCCTATGTGGTATGGTTCAACACCACGCAGACAATTCTATCCATTGGCTAACAATCCTCTAGGCATGGTTCATGGATGTGCTGAACTCGACATATGGTGGAGGGATATGGGTAGCTGTCATGATGATGGGCCTGAATGTACGTGGCCCCGCTGAAGATCGGTTGTCCAGAAACAAACAGCTGATTGCGAACAGTATCTGATCATTGTCAACATGAACACCGCTGGTTCACGTCTCGCATGGTCAATGGCTCGCGACCGAGCTTTCCCCTACTCGGACTATTTCGCTCAAGTCAACAAGCGATTTCAGATGCCTCTCCGAGCTATGATGGCCTTTATTGTGTTGAATCTCCTTACAGGCCTCCTTGTGCTCGGCAGTTCGCTGGCTTTTTATGCAATCATCTCGGGAGGTGGTGTCGCCTTGCAGGTCTCTTACTGCGTCCCCATCCTTTGCGTGGTTTTGAGAGGTCGTCAACACCTGCCACCGCGGCCGCACTTCGATCTCGGTCGATGGGGCTATACCGTTAACATTGCCGGTTTACTCTGGAGTATCATTGTGGTACTGTTCTATGTCTTCCCCCAGTATGTTCCCGTCGTGGGTGAGATAGCGAACATGAACTGGGCAATTGTCATCCTTGCCGGTGTTGTGGTCTTTGGAGGAGTGTACTGGTTCTGGAAGGGCAGACACGAATACTTGGTTTTCAGCAACTCCATCCTGGACGACAACGTTGTCATTCATGGCGAAGCTGTTGTCACTGGCAGGGATGCAGCTGCCACCTTTGGACAACCTCAGCCCGAAAAGAGACTCGATCTCTAGTTGATTTGTGTATTGGAAAAGGTCCCTTCCCGCTAGATCATGAATATGGGAAAGAAAGCTGGATTCGAAGAGACGGAACATTAGATGATTTCTGAGCAGCACGGACTTTCAGATCTTTTTTTCGTGTACTTTGGATAGGGATGGATGCACTCGGCAGTGATATAGGGTCACAGACTAGCTCTTATGGGGACTAGGGTCGTTAGCAAAGGATACCAAAACAAAGTACTCGCAGATAGAAAATCGATTCAAACCACACCGCCTACGAGGTACTGGGTACACTAGCTGTGACTATGCAACGAGGCTGAGTGTGTTACAAGTCACTCGGTTAGTGCCGCGCCGTGTGGAGAAGGGCGCCTTCGCGATCGCGTCTGCTAAAAGTCCCTCCGCGCAGTAATGGGATTCAACCGCAAAATGTTGATCAGGGATCAACTTCAATCTTGAGAAGGGCAATTTGCAGTTCCTCCTCGTTATTCATGTTTTCTTCCAGCTACCGACCCAATTGTCCATAGTTCGCCCTCAATATGACCCGTATCAGCGAATGGCGCAGGCTTCCCGTCTCCCTGAGCGAACTATGCCTCGCGACTACCCTTCGCTGTGGTCAGTCCTTTCGCTGGCGTCAATGCGACGACCAGACTTGGGCATGTACACTACGTGGTCGCATTGTACAACTGTCTCAGCCCGACAAATCGCATATCGAGTACCGCTCGATATGGCCTGCAGCTGCGGCCTCTGAAGGGCCTCTGACGCCTCCTTCGTCCATTCCACCGACCACAGTCTCAGACGAGAGCTGCAACAGTGGAATCGAAAATGACGACACCAGAACCCTGATCCAACACTATCTTAACTTAGAACCGAATCTCGAAACCCTCTATGCCCAATGGTCGGCGTCGGATGCCAATTTCGGCAGGAAGGCGCCCAAGTTTACTGGTGTGAGGATCCTGCGGCAAGACGCCTGGGAAGCGTTGATCGGATTCATTTGCAGCAGTAACAACAACATCATACGGATATCGCAGATGGTGGACAAGCTGTGCATGCACTACGGGACATACATTGGCACGCTGGACGGTCGCCCGTACCATGACTTTCCAGAGCCGTCAGCGTTGACGGGCAAGAATGTCGAGAGCAATCTGAGAGAACTAGGGTTCGGCTACCGCGCAAAGTACATATATCAGACCGCGAAAATTATTGCCGACGATCGAGAGGTTGGCTGGTTGGACACTCTTCGCAATCCCGAGTCTCCTGCATATGGCACCACCAAACCCTCCCCCGCTGGCGAAATGAAACCTGAAGGCCGCGACGGTTATCGCCAAGCGCATGAAAGTCTCCTAGGCTTACAAGGCGTGGGACCCAAAGTGGCGGATTGTGTGTGTCTGATGGGCCTGGGATGGGGAGAAGCGGTACCAGTAGACACGCACGTATGGCAAATTGCGCAAAGAGACTACAAGTTGGGAAAAGGAAAGAATACGAGTATGACCAAGGGCACATACGACGCGGTCGCCAATCATTTTCGCAAGATCTGGGGGAAAGAGGCTGGGTGGGCGCACAGCGTGTTGTTCACGGCGGACTTGAGGACGTTCGCGGAGAGGTTGACAACAAAGATGGAAGTGAGCGTCGATAAAGGAGGGGGGAAGCAGAGGGAGAATGAAAATGTTGGACTAGTGAAGGTGGTTAGAAAGCAGACTGCGCAACGTGTATCCCTCAAACGAAGGGCTGAGCAGGCAGAGCCAAAGACGGCGATGAGGATCGAAGAAGAGGTAACGACAAATCTTAGCGAAAGGGTCAAACGGCGACGACGTAGATGATGAAACTGCGGTGGTGCTAGGATCCAGGATGTCGAATTGTCGAAACACAAGCGTAAGATCAACAGATGACACAGGATGGAGACTGTGGTCACCCTTGGGTGTTTCACTGTCACGTGTCTCCCCTGCCTCTGTGTCGTTCTCACGGGCTTTTGACATTTCGAGGACCAAGCATGGTGCTACGGAGTACCTAATACCTACTGGGTACTGGGCCTCGTTGGCCTCGTCCCAGTTCGAGGCCTTTAAAGCATGGGCTTCCCTGGCTAGTGATGCCGATGACGACGCTGTTCCAACAGCCGAAGTGCAGCGTCCTAGTTTTTATCATTCGATAGTAGTACTGGGTAGTAGTGGTGGTGGTGGTGATGATGATGATGATGATGATGCAGGAGATGGGCACTTCGCGCAGTGTCACTCCCCACGGCGCGCCGAATCAACAAGAAGGTCAAATCAAATTGGTCTTGTATCCAGGATGCAAGCAAAGGGAGATGCTTTACTACGCCATACTACGCTCCTTTGGGGAAATTGCACTCCAGCAGCGTCAGATATCCGGAGTATTACAGAGGCTGGCCCAGAGCTGGAGCTGGATGTCTTGAAGGGCGTTGGATCTCTCGTACACGACAAATCTGAGCATTCCGCGGTCGATTGTCAACTCTGGTGATTTCATTCGAAAAAAAGAGAAGAGTAGAAGATTCTGCGGCCGTTCTGTTGTCCAGTCGATCGAACAAGATGGCTGTTTGGGTGAGTGCTTCTGCACAGCCATTGGTGACAGCAATTTGGGGCCTAGATTGAGGGCCGGGGGGTGGATGGAGGTCACCAGTGCCCAGTGCGTAGAGGTGGCCCCGCGTCGTGGCAGGCATTCCACAGGGCCTGACTGGGCGACTGGGTGACGCCGGGCATTTGGACACCCGACTCTGCAGCAACGGCAGGCCCCTAAAAGCTTCTTGCTGGTGGTTCCTGGGCCTACGCTGCAGATTGACCACTCTCGGGCGTTTGCTTCTCTGACGCTCTTCCTCTCCAGCGGCACTTCTGCAGGTGGTACAACGCCCACGCCGGCCCTCCACTTGGCCTTGTTTTCGTGCCCAGCCCTTGCCAGACCTTCCCAGCCCTGGGCCTATGAGCAGCCGGTGAGGTGTCTCTGAGAGAGCCTGTGGCTTGCCCCGTCAGTCATCTCCCATCTCCCGTCTCCTCGATTGCTTGTCCATTGCTCCATTGTTCGCTTTTCCGCTACGGACAATCAATCTCCTTTCGTCACTGGCAGCTTCTTTTCCAAGGATCTTCATCTTGATCTTCCCACTCCCTACAACTTCTAGCAAACACCAGCATCCTCTTGTTTACGACTGTCGCTCCTTCCTGTCCGTCGTCCTTTTTCGATATCCCCTCCCGTGACCCAGCTGCGTTCGGGGTTTGGGTCGTGAAAAACATCAACACACCAATCATACCTGCTGCTCCACCAGTACCAGAACACCACCCCGTTTCAACAGATCCCTGCTCCTAGTCAGTCTCGTCCACGCGTGTCTCTCGGGTCGTCAGCTTAAATCCCACCGCGCTCGATCGACAGCCCCCAACTCCGAGATCCCAGTTTTAGAAGCTCTCTACCAAGTCTTCTGGTCTGAATCGTCACCGACTGAGCATGCCTCTACGAATTTCACCGTTGTAGCACCTCCCTCCTCCGTCTCGTCGCTGCGGCGCAGACACAGATCGCATAAAACCATGCATCTGCTCTCTCGGTTCCGCTCCAAAGCGTCGACCGCTCTACTGCTACTTGCTGCGCAAGGAATTTCGCAGACAGTACCTCCACCTAATCTCGACATCAAGTCGCTTGGGGAGGTCATTCTCGCGGGCGACTTTGACGCAATCTCTATTTACACGTCAATTGGGCAACAAGAAGGATACAATAACAATGGCACGCAGTCAATATTGTCGCAGCTACCAAACGGGGCATTCGACGTTCTGTCCTCCACCGACGCGAGCATCTCAGCAATATGTCCGTTGGTGGTTAACAGCACCCTCATGGGAATTGTGGTGGGAGGTAACTTCACCAGTGTCGGAGGAGTCGCAGCGCGATCTCTAGCATGGATGAACGCAACCACTTTGGAGGTCCAGGCGATCGGCGGGGTGCAAGGAACCGTCTCGGCGCTCTATTGTGATGAAGATGATTCAATGCTGTACGTTGGCGGTGCTTTTGACGCGGGTAATTCAACAAATGCAATTGGATGGGCAGCTGGTGGCTGGTCCAGCTTGCCCTTTGCGGGTTTCGATGGCCCGGTCAGCTCCATCACCAAAGCTCCCGATGGCCACATCATCTTTGGAGGTTCTTTCACTGGTCTCGGCAACATATCGTCCAGCTCTCTGGAAAATCCAGATTCTCAGATTATCAATCTCTCAACCGCTAATGTCACTGCCCGCGGCAACACGAGCACGGCCGGCTTGGGAGATCCGAGAAACGTTGTTTGTCCATCGAATAGCTCAGATGGCTCCTCCGACTTTTTGCTGGCCGATAATACTGCCGGTAGTTGGCGCGCGGATTTGGCATTCGGTTTCGAGCCCACCAGGCTGCGGCTATGGCAGACAAGTCAAAGTGGGAAAGGCACAAAGACGTGGCGATTTACGGCGCACCCGCTCAATGGCATCCTCAACTTCACCACTACCGACCCGGCCACCGGAGATCTCACTTCTTGCTCCTCAACGTGTCCGCTCGCAGAGTACAACGCGTCACAACCGTATCAAGACTTTTATTTCGTTAATCTGGTAGGGATGAACAGCTTCACCATTGACATCTCGGCCTGGTACGGAGACGGAGGTGGGCTCGCTGGAATCGAGCTCTTTCAAAACGACATCTTCTCTTACGCCATTGAAGCCTTCAATGAGCCCACCTGTGAAACCAGTGCCGCCCGATCCGACGCCACTGCGACTGGGTCTTGGTATACGACTCCGTCGAGGGAGAGTGTGTCTGACTATCTCACCGTCGTAGTTGGCCCCACGACCGTCGACAACACGTTCATAGTTTTCCAACCCGATGTACCGCAGAGTGGAAACTATTCCGTCATTGTCTATACTCCTGGCTGTCTCCAGGATAGTTCTTGCTCGGCACGTGCCATTGTTAGTGTCATGGGCAGTTTGACGGAGGATGGCAAACAGTCTTTCAGTACGACGCTCTTCCAAACAAACGATTTCGACAAGTACGACATAGTTTACCAAGGACATGTGGACGCCACTACAACATCTTTTCGGCCATCCGTGACCCTCAGACCATCGGGCCAACAGCCAGCCCAGTTGGTTGTCGCGTCTCGAGTCAAGTTCGGCTTCACCTCTACGACCGGTGGGTTAAATGGCTTGTTTGACTATGATCCCAACAACCACACCATCGACTACGCCACTGCCGACTTCTCCAAATCTGCCATTAATAACGCCGGCACCACGCTCAAACCAAACGCGAATGTTTTGGCACTTGCAACGCGCGATGACACCATCTATGCAGCGGGCCGATTCTCCGACGACGTTTTCGAGAACATCATGGCTTTCCACAACAACAACGCGTCTGCCTTGCCTGACGGTGGCCTCAACGCGGCCGTGAGCGACATGTACAGCTTGGATGACTTTTTGTATGTCGGAGGCAATTTCACGAGCACTGCTCAGGGCAATGTGGATGGCCTGAGCAACGTCGCTGCGTATCAGTATTCAAAAAATGCATGGGTCCCACTGGGCGCTGGACTTGACGGTCCGGTGGAAGCAGTTGAACCAATGCTACTTAATGTCTCTCAGAGCGGCGGTCCAGAGACTGTGGTTGCGTTCAGCGGTTCTTTCACGCGCATCCTCGCATCTGGCTCTACTCCTGTGTCTCGGGTGAATGGCTTGGCAATCTGGGTACCCTCCAAGAGTAGCTGGCTGGCGAACCTCGACGTTCCCAAGGAGGCTCTGGCTGGTCAACTGTACGCTGCGACATTTCTACCGAACCAGACTTGGCTTGGAGCTGGTACCATTGAGTCACTCGGGCTGGCTGTCAGTGGGGCTGCCGGTCTTCAACCTCAGTCTGGTGGTGAGGTCGCACTTTCGCGACTACCTATCGATATCACGCCCAGCGATGTTCCATCTGGCACAAGAAAACGAGCTGTTCAAGCTCCCCAGAATGTGACTGGTGTCAATACAGGGGTTTATTATACCGGCAATGGACAAAATGTGACCATCATGGGAGGTCACTTCACTGCAACTGCGACAAGTGGGTCCACCATTGAGAATCTTATGTTCTTGAATGGTTCCAATAACAACCGAGTGACGGGACCTCCTGCTGGTATGGATACCAGTTCTACCGTCCTAGCGCTGGCCCTTTCAGAGGACATCCTCTTTGCTGGTGGCACCATTTCTGGACGAGTCGAGAACACCGACATTAACGGGCTGGTTTTGTACGACATGAGTACTGCGGCATATCGCGCAATCCAACCAGCATCCTTGCAAGGTCCCAACGTAGTGGTCAATGCCATAGCCCCACGGTCAGGTACAACAGCCGTCTATGTGGGTGGAGCGTTTGACCGCACATCTCAAGATCTATCTTGCCCCGTTGTTTGCATGTATGACACCTCGACAAGCCAGTGGAATACAGTCGGGACAGGACTGGATGGCACCGTTTCGTCTTTGTTCTGGAGGACTGGTTCGGATCTTCTGGCTGCTGGCAACCTGAAGGTCCAAGGCAATCAGACGTCCCTTGCAACCTACAACACCGGCAGTCAAACATGGTCTGTGTATGAAATTGCGGGTATTCCTGGCCCCGTGACTGCATTCTGCCCCGCCACAACCGATGGGAATCATATGTGGGTAGCAGGTACGGCCAACAATGGCTCGACATTTTTGATCGAGATTGACGGAATCAACGTGAGACCAGTCGCTGATGCGTTCAGCCCTGGTACGAGCATCCGTGGCCTGCAAATCATGCCTCTAACTCGTGACCACGGGTCATCCCAATACCTTGACAACGATTATGCCTTGCTCGTCACGGGTCAACTGAACAT